AACAAAGTAGCAGAAACCGTATAGAGGACAAAAACCCCATAATTTCATATCATCTCCATTTTGAGAATTTTCTTTACAGAGCTTTCATGGTTTGAGATAGCCCCAAAAATCCTAATTCCCTAGTCTAAGCCCTCCTCCCACATCCCAACCTAATGTGAGATGGGTTTTCCAGACAAAACATGCCAGACTCAGAATAGGGGAAAGGGAATATATTACAATGACTGTACAAATAAATACTATGATACATTATACACACGAGCTCAGCTATCTCTACCATGACATATAGTATTTACAATGATCAGATCTCTTCTCCCCTCTAAATAAAAGTCCAGGAGGGAAAGAAGGACAGATCCCTTCCAGTCTCTAGGCAGCATCTTCTAAGGCAGCAGGTCATCTGTCCTCTTCTCATGCACGCAGCTGATAGCTGGATTTCTTTTCTACATACATAAGGGGGTCTCCAAGCCCCTTGGCTCTCCTTCGGTCCAAGTGAAGGCCTCACCTGTGGACTGCCAGCAGGGACAAGACTTGTGTCACCACAGGTATATCACGAAATGCAGGGGCATCTTCGTGAAAGTCCCTTCCTCAGGGGTTCAACCCTGAGTCAGAACATCTTGGGCAGCATTCAGTTGCAAGCCTTTGCCTCAAGAGTTCTACCAGAGCTCCTGTGCTCTGTCTCAGGCTGCCAGGCTTGCCAGCAGCAATGGGGGGGCCAAGGTCAACTCCCCCCCGCATTCCATCTGGCCGTCCCGGTCCAGCTCCGGGACGTCTTTGAGCTTCTTAGCTCCTCTCTCTCTCCGGTGCTGCATGTCCAAAACTACTCTCCAAAATAGGAGTCCATCTCCCTCTTTTTCTCAGAGGGGTCTCAAGGGAGTTTTGGGGTCTGGTATCAGTTCTTACCCCAAACTCTGTCTCTCTGCTGCTAGCTCTCTTTCTTCAGACAACACTGTGTCTCTCCTGCTTGGCTGTAATGCTTCTGCTGCATCTTATCTCTTCTGGCTCTCTGCCACCATTTCTCCGGTCAGTGCCAGCTGCTGCTCACATTGAAGAAACATCTCCAGGTTCAGCTACAGGCACTTAGTCCAGCTTAACACTGTTCCAAGTCTCTGCAGTCTCCCCAGCCGGGGCTGGGAGGCCCCAGGGGCCCCGAGGGGCTCAGAGCCCCTTCCTCATGGCTCTACAACATGGCCACCTCTCCTCAACAACAACCAGACTACAACTTGTCTCTTCTGGTGAGCTTGTGATATGTTTACATTTTTGCAGGAGCGCAGATTGGACAAATCTCAAGTGTCACCACCCCTGAGGGTTACCACTTCTCAGCCTCTGGGGGAAAAACCAAGGTCCAAACCACCACAAGAGCATAATCCAAATCCAACATCACACTTCTGCTTTTTATCTTTAGAATAATAGTGTCCATGTCATTATAGCTGACTTTTCACTGCTAGGTAACTAAGCCATTTTTCCCTTGGCAGACATGGTCACCAGAGTCATCATCAGGGACAGCCCCAATGCACAGGTGATGTATGTGTTGGGCAAACTCCCATCCTGGCCAGTTAACCAAGATGCAGCACTTAAGTGCACCCTAGGTACTAGACTGGGCTTAGGTGTTGTGAGGAAATTCCTCACACAAACTACTTTTGAAAAGCCACAGCCTTCATTTGTATGTTTAGTCATAATCACTGATTTGGCTTTTTGAAATGCTTCTTGTGACTTGATTGCTTTTAGTAGCTACTTGGCTTTAACTGCACAGGAAGCAAAAATAGATTAAAACAGCAAGCACAGTTGGAGCTACAACAAATTGAGAAAGGTACTTTAAGAACTTACCAAGATACCTTTGTCGTTGGTTTTTGGGCTTCTATCCCAATGACTTCAGCTTGAAAGCATTAAAATTAGTTCCTTATACATGCTTTGCAGGTGATGGGGGTTTTTTGAGCTTTAATTTGCTGTTTGATTTGCCCCAGGATTTTCAGGTGTTGCATGAGGGAGTAAAGAACAGAAAGTACCTCAGTTCTTGGTTGTCAGCCATTGGATGATGGCCACAACATTATTAAACCATCCAAGCATGCTGGGTCTTAACCACAAAATTTAATTTTCCCTACTGCAGGGACTAATCAACTACCAGAGGCACTGAGTCCTGAGGAAACTGGTTTTATCTGTATTATTTTCTTTCAAAGACTGAAGCACAGTTAATTTTACAGTTTTGTCTATCCTCAGGCTTACAAACAATGACAGAAACGCAGCTTGATGAGAAACAGATAAAACTGGAATTTACGCTTACGCTATGACATAAATTAAAGAAAGATGAAAGGTTTAAATAATTAACAGCACCTCTATAAGTCAGATAGAAAGACCAAAGATTCCCTTAGCTGAAGGGAAAAAGAGATTGAAAGGGGAATAAAGCACACTGAATGCTATCAGCAGCTACCTCTTGCTTTGTGTGAAACTAAAAAGGAAAGTTGGTTCTTAATGCAATTGCTCATTTCTGCAAAACCACCTCTGCTGACAAATTAAATTCACATTTCCGAGTCTTCAGAAGGCATTTAGAAGGACACACACATTTTTATGTCAAATTTAGTATTCCAAAGAACTATTTGTCATGAATTCACTGCATAATAATACCTTAGCTTCTTCAGTAGTTGCTAAAATATTGTTTTTTTTCAGGAACTCCATGTATATGTTCTCCCACCCCAGAAATGTAACTAGGCAGTTGAACCATTTATGATTCATTTTCTGAGAAGTATAGGGTTTCATGCTAAGAAGACAAACCTGTGAGGGAAGTAAAGAGAGCAAGGAAAGCAAAGAAATACAGCAGCTCAGCACCACCTCAATATTCATCTATATTGTTTTTAATCATAGAAACTGTTTCTTGGAGTTCTTCCAAGAAAGGGGAGCAAGGGGGGAAACTCCAATGAAATAATGATACCTTAAAATCTACCAATATTGGAGATAAAGGCTGTACTATGCACGTGTTAAATTTATCAGAAAAAGATGGTTGCAAGAAGCAGTTCACATGACTAAGACAGAATTCTTTCAAAATGACAGTTGTTCAGGCTTTATAAGAAACATTAGCTTAAAAGAAATTTGAAAATAGAAGAAAGTTCTAGCCAAAGAAAACAATTATAAATATTCTTAATTGCCTGGAAATAATTTGTCATACAAAATTGGACTGAAATACATTTATACAAAAGCTTCAGATGTGTTGATGTTGTAATACCTTTTAGAAGCCCAGCGTATTTTTGCACAGCGAGTTCCAATAACACATTACAGAAAAGGATATGACTTTCACTTTTATCTTCTGCCTCCTTTCCTCACTCCATTCTCTCCTTTACTTTTTTCACTTCACTTTTCTCCTTTCTTTTCTTCTTTTTCATTTTGCAGGGCAGGGGGAAGCATAAAATAACTGGAAGACTCAGTAACTGCTACTCAGTGTATTTTATTATTTCAGGAATTCATTCCAAGCTGGGCTGCAATTACATTTAAAACTTGAGAATAATGGGCTATTGACATGTATATAGTTTTAGAAATATAAGGCCTCATTTTCTCAGCTGGAATTTCCCTACAATGTGCATTTGCATTACATTAGAGGTGCTCTTTCTAAAAAGAGCATAGCCTGCATTCAGACATTTTGACATTATCTGGGTCAGAGGCAACATTTAAAAGCAATAGCCCTACATCTACGGTGAATCTCTTACAAGCACACACAATGCATTAGTGAAAATGAGGGGAAAACTGAGAGGTTCTCCATATTAAGCCATAGTTTATGACATACCTGCCTGTACCAGACATTAATCTGCAGGAGATAGATTGTCATGGTCATGGTCCCCTGCTCCACTCCAATTGCATATATATTACCTAAATTGAAATCTGTACTTCTTCACACCATGTGTAGTTTGATGTGGCCAGAAACGGTAGAATGCATAAACTAGTGGTTTTCACGGTGCATAAAATCATCTCCATTTTCCATGTATTTACCTACACATATAGCAGCTGCAAGTTTTTCCTTCTGGTTTAACAATGAGGACGTTATTCTCTCTCAGCTTAGCTGACGTCCAGCTAGCTTGTCAGGCTCAAAATTGCATGGCACTGATTAAGCATGTAAGCAACTCAGTACCTTTCTTGTTCCCAGAAGTGCATAAGACATAACGAAAAAGGAATGCAGAAGTTTTTCACCTGTTATAATTGTTTCATAAAGCCCTGTACAATGTATTCTTTGTCATCTTCGAAGAATGGGTCATTTATGATGGTAATGCTTACACAAGTGTGTTTTATGAATAGAAAGATCTGCGTAATTGGTGTGGTATTACAAGTGAAAACCCACGGAGGTTGCACAAGATATATTTAACTTTCTAATTCACCGCTTACAAGATTTCCAGATATCAGATGTTTAATTTGTCCTTCATTGACATATTCCATTCTAATGAAAATGGCTCCAGATTAGTACCATCACACTGTAATTACTGAGATATTAAAGCCAGTGTAAAGTATGGGTTTTTCTTGCTTCCTCTTTTCATGTCTCATTTCTAACACTTACCCCCACTCCCAATTTCTATCGCCATCACAAATTTCCTTTCTTTCAAATTCTCCTATTTTAATTTTCTTCTTCTCCTTCTTTCTCAAAAACCTGACATTAACTTTGCTGCTCCCTTGGCACTCGACTATTTCTAACCCTGGCCAATCCCTCATATACAATACATCTCTCCTAGCACTTTTTCTGCTGTCTTCAGTTGTTTCTTTCAAAGCCTTTCTTCTCTTCCTGTTTTCCTGTTCAATCTAGTGTATCCCTTTTTAACCAGACAATCACATTTTCCAGTCCCTTTACCTCTTTCTCTCCCCTTCCTTTTAACTGAACCCTGGATCTGCTTTGATAAGCCAGCCCTTCTTGATGGCCTATCCCCACCTCTCCTTCTCCACCTAGCAGGAAGATATTTCTCTTGCATTCCAGTGCTTGAATTTCCAGCTCTAGCATCTCTAGGCCAATGAAGAAAATAATCACCACAGAAAAAGCTTCTTAATAGAACCAGAAAAATGTGTTCAATAACAAATGGCTGTCTCTTGACTCTTGGAAAAAGAAAATCCTAAAATCAGCAGACTTACAGAGAACCTCTTAAGGTTCTGTAAGGAGGATGTCCCAGAAGACTGAAGCTTGTCCTTCTACCAGTTAGGTAAGGAGGGTAGGTAGGACCTGCAGAAAAGAGAATTTGGGATGTCCTTTTCCCTGCCTAAGTGTCAGAAACTATAATTTTTCTTCCAAAGTTTGACCACCTCTCCCTGGCTTTGAATCAAACCTAGACAAAGGTATGTGCTTTTCTTCTGAGGGAAGGATGTTGCCTTCTAGTGCAGTAAAGAGGGAAGAGTTGCTTACATACAGCTTTAGGTTCACTGCTCCACCAACACATGAGAGTGTATGAGAGTTTTCTTCGCACAAGGCAGAGCAACTCTCACAGGTCTCTCTCTCCTAACGGAAGGTGGAGTTGGAAAGTGGGAATGGATGGACTGGTATTCTGTGTTGGTTTTGGTTTTTTTTCTACAGCAAGAAGGCATTTTCTGTTCTTTTCCCAAATACAGTCTAGCTAGCTGTCAACTGGTGTGGTTGTAAACAAACATTCCTACCTAATATATTTGACTCCTGAATCTTGTCTAATTGTACCCCATTAGACAAGATAAAGTGGTTTCACTTCACTCCACCATAAAACACTCAAGCTGCTAAGTAGCTCCAGAAAGCAAACTGACTTTTTTAGGTCCCTCTTTCTGACAGGTGAAGTTAACACCTGGTGCCCCACCCAGGCATGGGAGAAAATACAATTTCTACATGATTCTGTTAGCAATACTACTCACCCCAATGCCATTGTGATGGAAATTCATCCCTTTAAGAAAGTTATTGACATTTTAAAAATGATTTTACAGTTTTAGCACATGGTAATGAGTGTTCTAAATAGCAAACGTGGTTTAAAATAGTATTGTGAGAGACAAAAAGAGGTGAATAAGGAAAAATACAAGGAATCGTGTGTTAGAGTCTAAAAAGCGGCAGGGAATGAAACAGGAAGGGACAGAGGGGAGATTACGCAGAGACTGGTTTTAGGAATTGAATTGTTTTATCATTTTAGTAAAATTCTTTGTTCAGAACAAAAAGAAAAAGGAAGTATTTTATTGTTTTTAAGACTTTCAAAATTAAAATGAAGTAGAAAGGTCTGTTCATAAAAGTGTATATAACTACAAAGGTATTCTGACACTCCTGGGATGAGGAGACATTCTAAACATACAATCAGGTTTTAATTTGCTGAGAAGCAGCAATAGCAGATGACTCTGGCAGCTGTATAGGAAGTAAATGGATATTTCAATAGTTTTGTAGAGTAAGCAGTTTTGCTTAATCAACCAACAAGATTATTTTAGAAATTAATGTGAACTAACAAAACACAACATGAATTCTTTGTCACATGTAGTATACGATGTGGCAAACAAGTCCTGATTAGGATTCAACAAAGATCTGTGAGGATGACAAAGTGGCCATGCTGAGAACCAAGAAGAACAATACAGTGGCCATTCTGAGAATCAAGTATGACACTGCAGTGTTCCATTTAGGGAGGACACAAATTATGCAGGCATTAAAAACTAGGATGAAGTAGTCTGCTGACTACTTTGAGCCTGAATCAGTGCTCCAGGAACTCTGGGTATCTTTTCTTCATGTAATTTTCGGGCAGGAACAGTTCTTATTCCATATAGCATATGACCAATTATTCCTTTTTCATTGATAAATTATTTCTTATGATGAGCATTTTTCCAAGTCTCTTCTACTCTAAGATTTTGCAGAAATTTTACTGGCAATTTGGACCTCAGGACTTAAGCTGGCTTGGCTTTATTTTCCCTTCTCCCTTGACCCCTTCACTGCCTTATCTCACAGTCACTGGGGCATTATCTATTGAATAATCAATTATTGTTTCTTTTAAAAATAAAAGATATTTGGTATATGTGGAGATCAAAATTATATTCTGATCCTTTTTTATGCAGGTTTCTAACTTAAAACTCCTGGCAACATGCTTTAGGGCATTGTAAATCAAAAACGCAAAAGCTACAGCAGGTAGAATTTAGGCAGAGATATTCTGGCTATAATTAAGTGCTACCAGCACTAATACTTGAGTCCGATTACACGACAATTTGAAAATAGAAATTTCCACTTCTCCAAATGCAAATACTGTTTATGCAGAAATAAATTTTCTAATTTTTGACAAGACCATTTGTTATAGGAAGACATGACTAAACAAAACAAACCCCAAAGAACTGTTCCACAAGAATGTGCCTGTCTCAGTGAAACTGCAAACACAGGATGGTGTGTGTTCTTGAAATAGGGAAGAGTAACTCAAATATTCTCAATGAAACATAAGAGTTGGATGGGCTGGTCATTTACCTGATAAAGGGAGATGTGGGAATTAAAATCATGTCCACCTCCTGAACAGCTCAGCTGCATGTCTGGATCACAACTAGTGGACAGTTTCCAAATCAGTTCTATGGGGATGTAGATCTGTAAAATGGTGAGGAGATCAGCAGATAAATTTAGTTTCTGGGAAATAGGCAAGGGAGTTGTTTTATTCTTTTCTATGATACTATTTCAAAGATAATGCTGATTGAGTTATTAAAATTGTGTGTCATTTTAGCAGTCTGAAAATATACATATATTAACATGGAAAAATTAACAACTCCCAACACTCCAATATTCGTTCATGTTGGAATAACTGACAGACTTCCAATATGCATGAACTTTATTCTAACATTTTGCCAAACAATTCTTTATCAAAATTAATATGAAAATCACATTCTGCCACATTGGTATTAACTGTAACCACAAAATGGAAGTACTAATACTTTCTTAAGGCAGTGTTCTAACAATTTTACTTAGATGGGATAATTCATTAGCATTGTAGATACCACACAATCTTGTAAGCTCTGTAATCAATTTGAAAAACTTTGACCATGATTTCCAAGCCCTGGCTAAATAACTTTTTGCATTACAACAGTCACCAGCATTCTTCTAAGGGTTTATAGTAGAGTAAAATATTTTCATACTCTTCAGCTGAGGAAAAGAGCAAGCCTTCCTACAAAATGTAATCCTGCAAGGCCTTTGTGTCTGGAGTCAAAGGCCTACTCTGTTCTTCATGCCTTGTCTTTCTCCAGGACTTCATGGTTCCCATCTAAGACAACCTAAAAATGACCTGCCAAGAAAGAATCAAGCAAACTTTTGAAGCTACACATAGAGATTCACATACCTATACATATCTATATCTATGTATCTATATCTACATATCTGTATCCATACACATGTATATATGTGCACACACACGCATACATGGAGTGAGGAGTACAACTTGCACTTTGGAAAATATCCTATAGCTTTTAGTTTTTGTACATGATTCCACAGCAATAGCCACTCCTGCAACTGCAAAGAGTTACAACTACAGGTTACAGTCTAGTGTAGGTAAGAGTCACACAGTGAAGTCACACTTGTAAAACTTCCCATGCAAATAGCTGTGAAACCATCTCTGATCACCTTTTCTCTACTTTACAATGGGTTGCAATGAAAAGGCACTTTATGCCACATTACTTATATGCTATTTCTCATACAAAACTGCAAAAATCCTTGATTCTTATAAATATTCTCCAAATAGGGAGTAGAAAACTCTGAACCATAGTAAAAGAATGATTAGCACTGGTAGCCTTATCAGCTGAAATTATTCCTCAGTGGTGGCTTGCCAGTAGTAACTGCTAAGATTTTAAAAAGCAAAATGTGAAACTGATTTTACTGATGTGATTGAATAATTAGATAAGTGCAAAAATCTGTCAGTGCAAGAGTGTGTGGCAAATAAGTATTCAGACATGTTCTCCTAAAATACCTGTTTCAAGAAACACTATGAATTATCTTAAACTCCTGCTAGTGCAAGGTGATTTGATTTCCACTCATCTGTACCAACACCAATTAATCACTGTAACAACAAAAAGGTCACAAGCAGGAATCTTCGACTGCCATAAAATGCATCTCAATGCACTTTTATAAAGAAGTCAGATTTAGACCCAAACCAAAGCACAGACAACATCTCAGCCACTCTACACAGAGTCATAAGATGAATCTTTATACTTGCAAGTGTTGGGCAGATATGTTAAATGAGACTACACATGAAGCATCAAAGACTATCATTGCACAATTAACATGCCATGTCCTAAAACAGTAGAATAGTTAGTCTAATACAATAGTTTAGGTAAGTTCAGTCTGATGGAATACAAAGTAGATATTCCAGTCTGCTCCATATTCCTGAATTGGTTTCCAACAGCGTACTTCCCTTAGCTGAGAACATTTTAAAATTATATCTCTAAGAGAAGACTATATCTGCCAGACTTTTGTAAGCACCACACACTAGATCTTCTTTAAATTGTGCTGCAGAAGAGAGATAGAACCAGATGGGTACATGAAAGCAGGCTTATAATTTAAAAAAAAAAAGGAAAAAAAAGGATATATAAAGTCCAACACCTTAATTTACAGCTCACAGATAAAGGACTAACAGCAGAAGGAGTCTTCAGCCAAATGTGATGATTTGGGCCCAGACTATTTCAGCTGAGCATAAAGTTTCAGCTAGTGATTTGGAATGAGAGCTGGAATCAAGCTGGAGCCCCAAGCCTGGAGTAGGCTGGTAAGTCACAGCAGGAACTGGATCAGACAGAGGATGCCAGGCTACAGTCGCAAGAGGTGTCAGAAATAGGTGTGATTCAGGTATGAGTTTATTAAATATAGATTCCTGATTAAGTTTGAGACCAGATTAAGTTTGAGACAGATAAGAAGGATTTTAGATATAAAGCGAAGAGACAATACCATATTAGCTTTATCATGAAGGAGTTAGTCTGTGGAGTTCACTTGCTCTACTAGTGCAAGAATAGGAAATGAAATTGCTATGCTCCATCTGACTTACTTATCTGTCAGGAGCTACGTTAGGATTAGTCTGGTACCTAGAGTGTGTCCATGGTTGGATTCTACAGCCCTCCACTATGCTTCAATGTTCTTTTTTTTCTTTTTTTTTTTTTTACTGCAGAGTCTACATGCAGAAAACAAGAAACTGCAGGTCGAACTCTGTCTCTAAGGACTTGCTCACTGGTCTTAAACTCATCCATGCTTACCTTAAACCCCATGCAGATTCAATACAATTTCAAACTTATTCTTTTTATAATAGGAGGAAGTTGAAATTAAAAATTAGCTATATTAGATATGCCTGGCAACCAAATTACCAAAATAACAAAATTCACAACAACTGGTTTTATTACTGGTTTTTGTCCTTGTCTATCTGGGTGCATTTGATAGCCTACTAACCCTAACAGTATGGTATGTAGCTTGGGAAACAGCCATTTACATGTTACCTATGAACATCCGGAAAACAGAAAAACCACAGAAGCAGCAAGTCATTTGAGCCTCTCTCCATGAGTTCTTGGTAGTTCTGTATCTCATCCTTTAGCATCTATGATGTACCTCAGAAAACTTTCCATCTTTGTGCTTCCTAGAAGACACACCTTTGAGAAGAGCACATGCCGTGAGGAACTGTTACAAAGATGGCAAGAGGAGCTGCAGCAGGTGCAGAGAGAAACAGAAACAAGCAAGCACCTACCCAAAAGCAATAGGTTATAACATCGATATTGAGGAACAGCTGACAATGGAAAAGTCTGTTTTAGTGTTACCAGTGAATCTGTTCAGCACAGTTTTATTCCAAGTTTTTCAAGTTGTAATGTATTTACCCCTCATATCTACCCTCCAATTTTCCTATTGGCTCCTATTTACTGCATTGCAGATGTTTCCCTCATTGGTCCTGCTGATCCTGTGTTCCCTCCCTCCTTTCTTGATTGGTCATCACCCCTGTCAATCCCATGCTCCTCCCTGGTTTCCAGAACCTTCCTCACCCTACCCTATATAAATCTTCACCTTGTTTGAATAAAGTGTGATATCACAGTGACAACCTGACTTAATCTTTTACTTTGCTCGATCCCAATTTGCTGTCGTGGATCCTTTCCAACCCCAAACTGCGACACACCTTTTATTATTTTTTTAAAAAAGCAAAATATTGTGATGTTCCACGAAATTCTGCTTGCATTCAATTCCCATATCCGCAAAGGATAACTGTTTCCATAGGCAAGTAAACCTCCTCTTTTAATTAGGGCACTGTTTTGTGGAAGGCATAGAAAGTCAAGGTGGGATCAGGGGGAAAATTGCCTCAAGCTGTTTTTCTCTGTTGTTCAAACATGCAGGAAACTGGAGTATGCTCCCAGGCAGAGTTTGTTTCAAAAGAAAAACACTGCATTTGCTATCAAAGACTGTGGGATTTGCAACCCTAACCGCATCACCAAAGTCTTACTGAGACCAACACCACGAAAAAAGTATAGATTAGCTAGAGACAGAGAACGTCTTTACAGACATGCAATCAGGAAAGTGTGAGCAAAACAGAGGAAACACAAAGCAGACAGAAAGTGACAGAACAAATCCCACTGAGCAGTTTGCAGCTCTTCTCCCTCTACAGAGCTGCAGCAACATGGGATGGGAGGGAGAGGGATAACATAGTAGTGAGTCTGAGTTAACGTGATGCCAACTAAACAAGACAGGTAATTTTATTTCTGAAATAGTTGTAATTTGGGCAGTAAGAGCTGTGGAGTGACTTCATAAAAAGTACCACAGAATACCTTAGTGCCAAAATCTTAGGCCATACTGAAATTAATAGATGTTGTTACCCTCTGGTGTAATGAAAAATCCTGTTCCGGTCTAGCATCTATGACTTTTTTCTATTCCAGTTGTGGTTTTGGAACAATTATTCAATTGTGTTTTTGCTGGAAATGACTTTTCATTCGACAGCTACATTGCATTTATTGCTACTGTATCTCTACACCTTTACTACCGCTCTATTGTGAGGACTTCTTTTTCCATCAGAGCTCTTCCCTGGACTCATCTATTGACTATCTCTTGTTGCCGTGGGAGTTAGGTGCTGAAAAAATCTCCAGAGCAGTTAATTAGGGGTGAGATAAGAAAGGGTTTATTTTGCCAAGGCTGAAGATGTTACAAGACGCGCGCCGGCCGTGCCTGAGATTTTACATTTTATAATACTATCCATCCAATCCCAGATGTGTCCACCTGTGGCCTTTACTCTGGACCGCCCCGGGTCCACCCCCTGAAAATGGGTCTGGGGTGCATTTCGGGACCCTCTGTTCATCCCATCTTCATCTTCATCAGAGCACAAAGGGTACATAGTCACCCAGTTTTTGACCGTGTTCTGTGGTTTAGGCCCTGATATACTGTTCTGCCAACAATCTAGGCCTTGCCTTGACAAAAAACTAAACATTTCTACTGGATTCGAGAGTAGGGGTGATATAGGGAGCATAGAATGGGGTAAGAGGGCTAAGGAATGTGTAAACAAGGGTGCTACAGAGAAAGGGAAAGGGACAAGGGACAAAGGAGGGAGGGTTTCTGCTTTTAAAATCTACTTATAAAACTTATAAGGCTTACCAATAAAAGAAAAATAAAAAAACCATTAGGGGCTTAAGGCATCACTCTCATTTGGGCACCTAGATGAGTGTTTCCCTAGTGGACTGGGTTTTCTGAATAAAGAGGAGTTTCTGGTCAAGCACTGTGTTTATCCTGCCTCTAGTGGGAAGGTGACTAGCACTTCACCCATCCCAGCTCTTTCAGATGGAGCTGGCTACAAACAATAAAACTTTACTATGTAATTTAGTTTTTAGCAATAATTTCAGTTTGGATGAAGTTAATATTTTTCATGAGTTATTAGCTGACTTCAAAAACAATAGCTCCATAATCCCCTCTAGACATAGAAATAGGCTACATAATTGCAGAAGTCATCACAGAGGAGACAAGGTTTTTAACAACTGGCATCTCCTAAGATTTATTTTTTTTTACATCATTTTCCTTCAGTGAGAATGATCTTGACACTGAGTAATTCACAGTCAATATCTACTTAGGAATAAATAGTCTTTTTCTATAAGCAAAGTAGCCTGTGAAAGGGGTTAACAGTAATCAGCACAGAATTGTTCCATTGGGGAATGACTGTAAATACTGAGAACTTCTTCCATTTCTTTCCCTGCTGTAGTTACGTTTTTTTTTTTTTTCAAGTGAGTAGTTTGGCAACCCTGAAACTCTAGCCTTTATTTCTAGTTATAAATCAGAGAATCATCCCCTTGTGTTGACAGTTGCTATGCAAAATCTGATTCTTGCAAGTTTTAAGTGGTCCAGTATACAAAATATAAGAAATTACAGGACACATAAATTTAGGGGTTTATATTCAAGTCAATGACTTGCTTTTAATATAATGCAGACAGGATACTGAGGTACCAAGGTGGAGGGTGAAGGTAACAGAACAATAGTAAAAATTATTGCCATTTTTTCTTCATCTTCTTTAGCCTGACTGAGACAATAACACAGAGACATTTAAAGCTAGTGTGATAGAAACACTTTCAAATACCTAATTAAAAGATCATGAATAATTCAGATATAAATAATATTTGTGCACAGATTTGCAAGTGGACTATCAGTGATCCATTGCAGATTTATTAAAGAAGCCACAAAATGTTCCTGTTGCAGAGGCCAACTCTAAGGCCTATCTATAAGGACATTCTTTGTCTCTAACTAATCTATACTTCTATTAACAGAACAGTTCTTTGTGAAATTTTCAAATTTCAAAATGAAGAATTATGTAAATATAAATGATGGCTCTGTTCTCTTCATTTCACTTTTTTTTTAATTGACTGAAATTGGCAACACAATCCTGGAACAATCTAAAAACACTCCACTGACTTCTGGAAAATTTGGGGGAGTTAATGTAAGAAAAAAGTGATTTCACAAGCACTACACATGCAGCAATCTTATCCAACCAAAATAAAATTCTCGTAGCCTGAGGACAGTGTGGAAACATGGAAACCTTGCTGGAATAATCTATCCACACAAAGAAATGGAAACTTATCTATTTGTGTCCTTTCTGCAATGTTGTCTGACATACAAGTCAGTATGACCACCATCCTGAGCCTAGGGCTGTGGGGTCCATTCAGGGCTCTCCCCACCTCCTGCTGGTGGTCCTGGGAAAAATCCCTATGGAACCTCAGCTGTAGCTGGGGGATGGGACTCAAGGCTTTGTTAAGGGCTGCCACCACAGACAGACACTATTGGTTCTGGCTCCACAACCAGGATGACTGCACCCATAGTTGTGTCCCATAGAGCTCATCTGCCAGAGACTTTGTCCAAAAAGAGTCTGGAATGCACAAGCAGGTCACAGCCCCGTGGGCTGACCCTAACCCAGGGCAACCCCTATCCCACAAATCCACAAATGCTTTAATGAGGATTCAGTGAAGGGAGCACAGTTTTATCAGCCAAGCAAGTCTAATCTTCAGTGCTTTGTGATGCCTTACCTGCAAGACAGATGCTAGTCCATCCTCAGCAGTTATTTCTTGTCCCACTGGTATGGTCAGCTGGGTGCCCCCTCAGGCAGAGGGAAATGCCCCCTGCTCCAGGTCCCGGGCTCCCAGTTCAGTGCACTGGAACAGTGCTTTGGAAACAGCAATCCCACAGCCACAGAAGGGATTCCCTTGCTGGAGCTCCAGCAGAGCAGCCAGTCAGTCACCAACAGCACCATCTGGTTCATGGAGCTGGGTGTGGGACCTGGCTAGGACGAAATAACTCCTTGAGGCCCACTACATGCTAGCATTGAGAGTTTAAATCACAAAATGGTCAGGGTAAAGCCACATGGAGCCTGGGTCAGCTCTTGAATCTGGCTCTCACTTTGGACAGCTACCTGATGGTGTGCAAGACAGAGAGCACCAGAGCTCTGGGAAAGCCCAGACACCATTTCTTCTGCTTCACAGAAGAAGCCCATGGAGGTGGGCACCAATCACCTTCATCCCTTATCCCACAACCAAGAGTGAGGATGCAGGTGTTGGGGAAGATCATGCTTCTGCTGTGTTGAGAAATGCCACTGACTCGAGCAATATCCATGCCCAGACCACTGCAAAGGTAGTGTTGTCTGCAGGTATCTGCAGCAGCACTCTGCTACACAATACTCTTTGTCATCGTTTTCTTGGAGTAGATGCACTGCCCAATCCACTGGGTCCAGAGTTTTGTGGCCTCTGAGTTTGTATGAATGCCCAGATGCTCACTTGCCTGCAACCCACCTCAGCCAAATTAATTGCTATGGGTGGGAGCTATGGAGACAGTCACCTTGAGGTAAACCATGGAACCAGGACAGGCAGAGGCTCCTGTGCCCTCCACTCTGCGCTATCATCCTCAGGCTACTTTGACTGCAGGAACATTACCCTGTCACTGACTGCTAGTTGGGATCCAGCAGTGCTCATGTGCCTTTACCCCCAGCTCCCAGTTAATTCTCCCTTATGGTGCCATCCCAGTCTTGCTGCTTCCTGACTCAGAAGACTTTCTTTGCCTTTGTTGGATTTAAAAACTCATTCAGTGGAACAAAATAACAAAATTTAGATGATTGTCCCCTCAATATCATTCATTAAATAAGCTATTGTGTTTTGTTCTCTTCCCAAAGGATAACTGTCTTGTCACAAAATGACACCTTCAGACGTCAGTCTTCTCATTAAGATAGAGCTGAAACCTTAGGGAATGAGGTGCCATTTCACTGTAAGTGGTCCATAAAAACTGAGCTCCACAAAAGATGTGACAGTGTTCTGACATTGTTTTACCCGTGCTATAGCCAGTCTTTGGATATGTGAGTGACTGGCAGTCTCTGAGTGCTTAAGTTTCTAACTTCTTTAAAGAATGAGAGATATTTTTAAACTTGTGGTGGTATCTGTTT